ACAAAAAAAAAAAAAAAAAAAAAAAAAACCAACACAGAAACTCAGAAAACATAAAGCTAAACTTTCAAAATATCCAAATGCATAAATACCATTGTAATCCTCAACATTATATTTTTTGTTTTAATTACTGTGCTTAAGAGATCTGTAAAGCAAAAATGTCTCTAACCTGTTAAGTCCCATTTCCCCAACAACAGAATAACTTTCCAGAGTGCTGGGAGCTACTCTTGTCTGATTGTCTGATTTGAAGGACTTTGATGAAAATGTTGATCATGTGTGATAAAGCAAGTCACACTGTCCTTGGCCAGCCTCCCAAGTAAACCATGGGTGAAACAGGGAGCTCTGAGTTTGAGTGGGAGATCCTGCCTCAACATATAAGGTAGGAAACAATCAGGGAATGCCCACCACTGACTCCTGGCCTCCACATACATACGCCAACACACGCACACACAGAGACAAAAAATAAAAAAGGTTGTCAATCCTTACTATAAATACTGTACTGAAAAAGCCTCAGGCTCTCTGAAGCTTAACCCAACACTGCAGGATCTCTATTTGTCCAGATAACCCAGCAATCTGGATTCAGGTGAGGAGAGGAGACAGCACTCTGAACAGCCAGAAACAGCCTCCTATAGCAGACTACGGACTGGCCAGGTGAGTGATCAGAGGCAGAAGCTTAAATCAGAACAGGATCTGCAACCATTTCTGAAATGGGCCTAAACATATTTCTGTTATGCATTAAGACCAAGCAGCTTTCTCAACATTGACAATTATATAAAAATATTCAAAATCTCTGGAAAATGTTGACAGTGTCACTCAACCAAGATTGAACCCTTGTATAAAAAAAAAAAATAGGCACACCCATCTAATTAGTATGTAAATTTGCTTTCTTCCCTTAAAAATTATATATAGCCAGGCGAAGGTGACACACACTTTTAATCCCAGCACTCAGGAGGCAGAGGCAGGCAATCTCTGTGAGTTCAAGACCAGCCTGGTCTACAAGAGCTAGTTCCAGGACAGACACCAAAGCTACACAGAGAAACCCTGCCTCAAAAAACAAACAAAAAATGATAAAATTATATGTCTAAAGAATTGTTTTATAATAAGTTTCTTCATGATTTATGATCAACAAACACCAGACTTGTAATTTTATATAATTGTATACCAGGTGTTCTAGAAAATATATCAGACAGAGGGGGTCACAAGTGGAAAAGATTCAATATGCTATGGCCCATGGGTAAACTCATATGACTGCTCAGAAAAACCTGCAATATTTTAAAAGTTTATCTAGTTATTAATTTCTTAACTTTTATTGTTTGTTACGTCCAAATTTTAAATATGTGCTACTTTTGAAATTTAAAAACAATTCCTTGATGATTTACTTACATACCATAAAATTGGCCTCCTAAGACAGTCACACCATCTAGTACAGACTGTGAAAGTTTCTCACTGCTGGGCCTGTGGAAGGAAAGAAAGACTTAGTAAATGGGAAAGCACTGGAGGAGTGTGCTCACAATTTCAAAACAGCACGGTCACTGAATTTGAAAGCTATCAACTTTGCAAAAACACAGGGTAAATTACAAGCATTTTCCCAGGAGCCTTTGCACAGGTGATTTCTTAGAAAATTTTGGCTTTTAAATTTACAAAGAAAATACAAATAGCCAGGTATGCGGATGCAGACCACTGATTCCTCCCACCTACTTGAGAAGCTGAGGCAGGAGGATCACTCAGTTCAAAGCCTGCAGAGACTGGGTTTAAAGCCAGCCTGGGTAAATTTGTGCAGCTATATCAAAATCTAAAAAGGGACTAGGTCTGTAGCCCCTTCCTAGTATACATTAGGCCCTGGGTTCAATACCCTCTATTAGCCAAAAAAGGAGAAAGTGAGGAGGCTTGTAAAGGAGAGCTGGAGGGATGGCTCAGTAGTTAGAGTGCGTACTGTTGCTGCAGAGGACCCAAGTTCAGTTCCCAACACAGGCAGCTCACAGCTGGCTGTAACTCCAGCTCAAGATCCGATAACTCTAACCTTCTCAAGCACACACACACAAATAATATTTTAAAAGATATAAAAGGTACCCTAACTCATACCCAAATACCTTTCCTAGTTTGACTGTAGCAATATGTATCTTAGTTAATAACAGCATCGAGACTGAATGCACACAGTGTGGATGGAGTATGGGGCCTTAAACTACTGAGAGCATAGAATCTAGTTTTCATTTTATGAAATCATAACAAAGTACTCCTCTATCTGGAAAACCAGGGAGTCATTATGGAACTACAGGTAAGAGCCAAACACAGTGAGAGGACACTGACGGACTTGAGGGAACCAATCAATTAGCTATTTCTGCTGCCTATGGACCTAATGAGTGAATAGTTTTTGCAAAACCTGGTAACACAACACAGAGTAAAAACTAAATCCAAGCTTTCCAGAGAATGAGAAAGAAGACTTCGATGAAGCCAGAACTTGCATAAAAGGGAAAACTACTATTGTTTCAAAGTAACTTTTAACATTGCAAAAAAGCAGGCTTTTGTAAAGGCAAAAGCTGCTGACAGTGACAAGTACAGAGACTATAAAATGCTGCTTCCAGTGAATTCCAGAACAAAGAAATGACAGAACACCAGAACCAGCAACAGATTAGAAACCAAATCTCCAAGTGTGGTTTGTTTAAAATGATGCGCTCTGACTGCAGTGGGGAAATAATCCTACGAAGTGTCACAACAATTAAATGTTTCTAACATGCAGGAAACAGCTTTTGTACATTGCTATTTCATGCAACTCTCACATAAATTCTCATTCGTCACTAACCCTGAGATGGAAGCTCCCGAAGACTACAAGAAACTAGAGAGACTCCAAACCCAGACAGTCACCATGTGCCACTTAAAAAGGTGGGATGTGCACTGAGCTTCCCTTAGTCCTTCCCACTGCCCTTGGTCCTGAAAGGAGATGCAATATTTCACAGATATTTGCCCTTGGGCAGGCAACTAGGATCATCACCTGGTGTCTCTACCAATAACTACGAAGGCGGGCTGCTGCAGATCCACTGCTTCTTTCTCCACGATGGTGGTAAGCACCTGAGGCATATCCTGCTCCTCAGCACTGGCCAGACAGGTAGCATGCTCCTCCCAGGACGGGGCCAACATTTCCCCCATAGGATCAATCAATTTCACACCATTGTCTTCCTAAAAGAGAAACAAACCTTAAGGGGAGCCCAGAATGGAAGTGACTAGAGGAAGAACTTTTGCTATCATCCCTCCAACTGATGACTGAGCAGCTGCCCTGGGGACCACTGGCACCAATGCCAGGAACCAACAGGTGTTTCCCTGATGTGGGATTCCCCTCTGTGTGCTGTGATTACCGTTAATGAATAAAGAAACTGCTTTGGTAGCAGGGCAGAACTTACCTAGGTGGGGAAAACTAAAGATTGGCACTCCAACATGTGCTAACTACATTCACGTAAAACCTAAAAGCTTAAAAATAAAGCCTAGACACAAAAGAACAGAGTTAAACATGGTTTGGTAGCACATTTTCTTGGGTGGGCTTTGTTTGCTAGAAGCAAGCAGAGGCATGGCTCCTTTAAGGGGTTTTCTTGATTCAGCGGTAGCAGAAAAAATAGCCGCACTGTTTTGAAAAAGCCATGGCTTCCTGGGTGGTGCCAGCACAAACTCTGACTCTTTCAGGAGATCCAGCTATGGAACATTTAAATGGGGTTTATGAGCAGAGTGTGACAACTGGCTTAATGGCAACAGACCAGCTGTGAGCCTGAAAATGGGGTAATGTACATGGCTCTCAGAGGCACGAAACAGTTCCACCATGCTGGACTGGGCAGCAAGCAGGGAGTGCCATCCATATTTGCTCTAGCAATGCCACAGCTTAGAAAAGACCTCTAAATGAGTCACACTGTTGGATAAATATGTAGGCTTAGGAAAGAGAAGAAAAAGTATATAGACAGTTAAAATATAAGTAAATGGTTCTAAGAAAAAGTAAAGTCTTTAAAGAGACAGTACAGTCAAAGATTAAAAGGAATAAAAAATAAGCCATGTAAAGATAGTATATAAACAGAGAGTCTGGATTATATAAACTATTGTGTTTTCTTTGAATTTTTTGACTGCAGAGAGGCATCTGATACTGGGGACTGCTAAGCCAAGCCAACATATATACTTTAAAGGTATCTTGATTCCAAAATATGGGTCTAAGAATTTGTTGCTTTGGAAAAGAGGTTCTTTTTTTTTTTCCACAGAAAATGAGAACCTGTGGATTAATTCCATACTAATGTGTTTTGATGAACCAGGATCCTCCCAAAAGGTTGCCCTACACACCCCCAAAAATTGTTTATAAAGTTTGTTTACATTTAAAGAGGGATATGATATAGAAAGGAGTAATTTGCATTGGTATGGATCTTGGTCTACTGATATATATTTCTGCTCTTATGGTATTATGATCGTGCAGTTTATTTAAAAATGCAATGTATAATTAAGAAATATAGGCTAACAGATAATCATCTATAATAGTCAAGCTTGTAGTCATGTTAGTTAGGTTTTTAGATATATAGAGAAATATTTTAGTCAAATCTTTCAGAGACCTTCAGAATATGGCATTTAAAATGTTTTAAGAACTTGGACTTTATGCCGGGCGATGGTGGCTGGTGGCGCACGCCTTTAATCCCAGCACTCGGGAGGCAGAGGCAGGTGGATCTCTGTGAGTTCGAGACCAGCCTGGGCCTACAGAGCTAGTTCCAGGACAGGCTCCAAAGCCACAGAGAAACCCTGTCTCGAAAAACCAAAAAAAAAAAAAAAAAAAGAACTTGGACTTTTCATGACAATGAGACACATCTGCTCCTGGCAGCACCAGTCTACTTCAAGAGGATGATGGGTATCAAAGAGGCTCCTTATGGAGTTAGCTAGTCATTTGGGCAAGAAACTGCTCTTGCCTGGACTTCTTGATGGTATGCTGTATGAACTGGACATGCAGGACCCACAGAGAAATGACTGCTGAACTTGCCCAAAGGTGAGATGGTCCTTCGGGGTTCCTGTTACATAAAAGAGTCTGCTGCCAGACATTCTAAGAACACAGAAAAAAGTTAACTGATGAACTTTGCCATTACAAGGTAGTAGAACAGATCTTCAAATTTCCTGCTTCATGGAAAAGTCTGCTGAATACTACAAGCCTGTAGGCTGAAGATGGATGCTCCAACAGTATAGAAGAACTTTGGGTGACTATCCAGGCAGCAAGATGTCTCTGTCAATTCTAGAGTTTTGGAAGTTGCTTATAATGCACCTCCTCTTTACTTAGGTAATATATCCTTCTGGAGTCTTTGATGGAGTTGAAGAACAGATAGAAAGTAGATATAAATATTGTAACTGTAAGTCTTGCTCTGATAACTGTTATATGTAAATTTTCTTTGTTAAAGTTAAAAGCTTCCTTTTTATTTAAACAGAAAAGGGGAGGTAAGGTAAGGTGGGATTCCCCTCTGTATGCTGTGATTACCATTAATGAATAAATAAACTGCTTTAGACCTAGAGCAGGGCAGAACTTAGCTAGGCAGGGAAAACTAAACAAAATTCTGGGAGAAAGAAGGCTGAGTCAGGAGACACCATGGATCCTCCACCAGAGACAGACATGCTGAACCTTTGCTGACAGACCACAACCTTGTGGTGTTGCACAGATTAATGGAGATGGGTTAAATTAAGATGTAAGAGTTAGCCAATAAGAAGCTGGAGCTAATGGGCCAAGCAGTGATTTAATTAATACAGTTTCTATGTGGTATTTCGGGGCTGAGTTCCTCAGCCGGGGACAAACGAGCGGGCTCTACAACGTTTCCCTTGCATTACCTCTTCAGTTCCTTGTGATACTATCATGACTGATAATGTCTCCATCCAAACTTGGAAGGACATTCTGTTACTTCTCTACTCTAGACACTTTCCAACAAAATAGCCTCATTTCATTCCCTCCACACCCAATGCAGCTGGATGGCTTCTGGGAGAGGGTGGCTTCAAACCCAAAGGACCATACAGATTAGGAGGCACACCCCCAGCATTAGCAAAGTGCTCATGTAAGACTTTAAGACAATCCTGAAGCCATTTTTGACAATTCTGAATCCTCTCAGCCTCTGTGCCATAGTACTTCCCCTCCTCCCCTGGGAACGAAAGACCTAACAGCTACACTCGCACGTACTCAGTTCCTGAACAATTACCCATATACGTATGCTTTGGTTCGGTTCCCTGGGAAACGGGGTCAAAATGACCTCTTACCTCATCTGATCTGGCAACAGCTCTCCAGTCAATTATTGGTAATAGCCCTTTCAAATAAGCCAATCAGAATAGTCAAAGAACAACCCCCCTTGCTTCTGTGGCCCCTTTAAAAGTAGACTGTACCCGCTATTCGAGGTCCCTCGGCTTCCCGAATGCTGGGGGACCCTGTCATGACAGAATTAATAAAATCCTCATGCTTTTGCATCAGCTGTAGTGAGTGAGATGGTCTCTGGGGGCGACTCCTTCTCGGTGTTTGGACGCCAGAGTCCAACACTCAGACACATTACACCAGTTTGTTACCTCGGGATTGTGGGAGGCCGTAACCATGACTCCAATGGTGGATTTTGTCTGCTTTGACCTCAGGACAGCTAGTAATCCCATTCGAAACATGATATGGTCGAGATGCTGGGCATTTGTCCGAAACCCAGCAGTCCCATACTGGAGAATGAGCCCCTGGGGCTTGGCATGGAATGCGGAGCGTTTAGAAACAGCCTCTAGATCCATGTCTGCAAAAGTAAGAAACATTATTATCAACAAAAAGCTTTCAAGGACCATTTGCTTCCAAACTGCCAGTACAATGTAACACACCTGTTTCACTGGGACCATCTCCAAAGAAACATGTTGGGGTAAGGAGGGGGAGAGAGGATGGTGTGGGAGAATTGTCAGTATTCTGTTAATCATGTATTTTAACAAAACGCTGCTTAGCCAGGCAGGAAGTATAGGCGGGTCAACCAGACCGGAAGTAGAAGCAGGGCGAGGAGAACAGGAGAATGCTGGAAAGGAGGAAGCCCATTCCCCCCACTCCTGCCCAGAGGTGCAGCAACATGTGACCTGCCTGCTGTGAAAGGTACTGAGCCACATGGCTAACACAGATAAGAATAATGGATTAATATAAGTGATAAGAGCTAATAAGAAGCCTGAGCTAATGGGTCAGTTTTATAACTTATGGAGATCTCTGTGTGATTTTTTGGGGGGCTTGCCAGCTGTGGGGTATCGGAAAGGACAGAAACCCCAACAAGCCGGCCCCCTCATGTTACAGATGGAGCCCAATGTGGATAACTGCATCCACATAAAACCCGAGAGAGCTTGGGAAGTAATTCTGGGCAGAAAAGAATAAAGCATGGCTTCTTAGTAGCAGCAATCTCTCAGGTCTGCTCTGCTTGCTAGATGCAAGCAAGCGCTCTCATCTAAGAGAGGCTTCCGGACTCAGCTTTTCTACAAAACCCTGCAAATCTTTTAAACGGTGTTGATGAAAAGCTGAACGCATGCTTTTCGGTTTTCAGCTGTAACAGGAAAAAAGCTGCACTGTTTTAAAATGCCGGCTTTCTGGGCCGTCCTGCCAGGGCAAACTCTGACTCTTTCAGGCAGTAGTCCGACTGAGTGTGGTCTGTGAGCAGAATGCTGCAGCTTGCTCACTGGCAGGACCTTGAAAGGCCATAGAGTTGTGGCGATAAAAATGGCTACAGCTGGTACCTCCGCCAAGAGGCTGGAAAGCTAAGGAATGGGCTGGATCCAGCCACCAAAGCCACGGTTTTAATCCTCTCCATAAAGACTCATGTGGTCAGAAAAAGAGATATACAGTAAAGACAGATTCAAAGAAGAAAACCTCTAAATGGTTTAGAGTGTGTTAAAAATATATGCAGGCTAAAGGTTAAAGTCCTTAAAAATAAAAAAGAGAGTAGTTGGGTGTGGTAGTACACACCTTTAATCCCAATGCCTGGGAGGCAGAGAAGGAAGGATCGCTGTTCAAGGACAGCCTAGTTTACAGAATTATTCTAGGACAAAGATATACAGAACCTGTCTCAAAAAGAAAAAGTAAAAATAAAAGAAACAGAGGTTAAAATAAAGTCACATAAAGATGGAAAACACACAGAGAATTTTTTTTTTTTTTTTTTTTTGGTTTTTTCGAGACAGGGTTTCTCTGTAGCTTTGGTGCCTGTCCCGGAACTAGCTCTTGTAGACCAGGATGGCCTCGGAACTCCCAGAGATCTGCCTGCCTGTGTCTGGGATTAAAGGCGTGCGCCACCACCGCCTGGTCACAGAGAATCTTGATACTGTATGCTATTATGCTCTCTTTGAATTGTTTGAATGCTGAGGAAGGAGCAACTTAGGTGTGGGCCCAGGTTAATAATCTAAAGTCTGGTGTGAGGCCAGTGAAAGACCAAGGCTGAAGGTCAGATCCACAAAGGGCTGAGTACCTCCAAATGCCTGGGAAATCCATGTGGCTCGCTCACTATTCCTCCCAAACTAGAGAGAAACCATCTCAGAGGAAAAGCAAAGTGCAACCATTTCCTCTTGTCTAAGACCTCCAAGATCAGCCAGGACATCTCCAAGATGACTCTGCAATTTATTCATAAAGACAGACGCAGCAATCTTCTAAATCTTTGTCTAAAGCTATTCACATCTGCACAATGCTGCCCAAGCGTGGGCCCTGTTCCCCCTAATACTCTGAGACACCTCCAATTAAGTTGAGGTTTTCTGCCTCAGCAAGCAGGGTGCATGCAGATTCGTAGACTGTGCACTTCCTGGGTCAATTCTATCCTAGGTAGCCCAGAGTAGGTGTCCTTCAGCTAACAACCACACCTCCTTGCTTTACTGTCCTTCCTTGTTCTGATGCACAACGCCACAAGAAATGCCGAAAAATGTTTGCTTCTATATGATTTGTAAAATAGGTCCTTCCCAAGCTAATTTAGTTCGTTCCAAAGTAATCAAACTTTTGTTCACAAGAACGAGTATATTTTTGTAAAAATTGACCAGTATAAAAAAAAGTATCGCGATTATTCATAAGGGTGTCAACCACTCTTATGAAATCCAGAACTCTCTCAAAGGAAAATAACAGTCATATAACAGCACGCTTCCACCCTTTAATGCGTTTGGAGTTCTAGAACTAATTTCAATAGGTATGGGAATGGTTATTAAAAGTCCCAACAAGGACAGGCGGTGGTGGTGCACGCCTTTAATTTCAGCACTCGGGAGGCAGAGGCAGGCGGATCTCTGTGAGTTCGAGACCAGCCTGGTCTACAAGAGCTAGTTTCAGGACAGGCTCCAAAACCAGAGAAACCCTGTCTCGAAAAACCAAAAAAAATAAAAATAAAAAAAAAATAAAAGTCCCAACAAGGCCGGGCGGTGGTGGCGCACGCCTTTAATCCCAGCACTCGGGAGGCAGAGGCAGGCGCATCTCTGGGAGTTCGAGGCCAGCCTGGTCTACAAGAGCTAGTTCCAGGACAGGAACCAAAATCAAAACGAAAATCAAAAAAAAAAAAAAAAAAAAGTCCCAAGCTATAAGAGCAAACAGCGAAGCCCGCTTCTTTCATTCATCCTGCTATACTCGGTAGTACACTCTGCTCCCAGCTCCCGATTACCCGCGACTCCCCGCCCTCCAGCGTGAAGTCGGCAGGGAAGTTGGGCCGCACTGAGCGGTGGGTAGGTGTGTCCGGCGATCACCAACAGCCACGGCTGTCCAGGAACCCCCACCCACAGCGGCCCGAAAGCCTCCAAGCCCGCTCACCTAGTACCGGAGCAGAGACGTCCTCTCCACATTCGAGCAGCCGCCGCGGAGTGCGCACCAAACCAGCTTACTCAGACCCTGAAGACGTGGCCCAGCCTGGCTTCCGGCCCAACGCCCCGCCCTCCGGCCAATCGCGGTGGAGAGGGTCTGATGTCCCCGCCCCTGCTCGGGCTCCCGCCCCAGCCAATCGCGGCGGGTTGGATACTCTGGCCCCGCCCCAGGCACCAGGCCCCGCCCCCAGCCATCCGCGCCGCGCTGCTCGCGCCCGCGGAACTGCGGCTGCGGTTCGGAGCGGGTTCAGGGGCTGCTTGTCTTGAGCGAGCTGGAAGGGTGAGGCCGCGGTGGCCAAGGCGGGCCGAGGGTTAGCACCCGGGGTGGGCAACTGCGCCTCCCAGCCTAGGCCTCGGGGGGCAGGGGTCCCCGGAGGGTGGGGAGCACCGATGTCCCTCCGACCACCGAGGTCACCTCCCAGCCCAGCCCCTGAAAGGCGACGGTATCGCCATCCCTGTAGGTCCTCACCTCCTCGACCCTAGACGTCATTTATTAAATGGCTGAGACCCCTCCCCCAGCTCCGTGGCTAGGCCGAGGAGGCCCTATGCACCTGCGCGAATGCTGCACGCCACTGCAGTCCGGGTGGGCTGTCCTCCAAGGGTCTGCAGATGAGGGCGGGCGGCGGGGGGACGACCGGGAGCCCCTTCTCTCTCTCTCTCCGCTCTGCGAACATCTCTCCTCGCCGCCTCCAGCACTGCGCAGGCCTGAGATCCGAGCGGGATTCCTGGGCCGGCCCCTGCTTTCCCCAGGTTTGAGGCTGGCCTGGAGTACGCAGGTGTTTGCAACCACCTGCCGCGAAACACATCACCCCATCACCTGTTGAAAGCGCGGACTCCAAAATGACCGGCAAGGGTGGGGGAAGAAAGACTAGGAATCTAGGTGTTGACGGAGCATTTTAACAGGATGTGTTGTGCATACTAGATTTGGGGCTCAGGAGAGAAATCTAAACAGTTTAAGTGTCTGGGTGCGTGCCCCTAGCTCTCCGCAAACCGGAATGGCCTCCTAGAAAGGGGACCTTGGGAAATTTTTCCGGACACCAGGTGTCATTAACAAACCCACTGTTTCTGGGCCTTTCCAGGTTTCCAAGCAGGTTGATTTGGAGACATGTCCGCGTCGGTAAAAGAAAGCCTTCAGCTTCAGCTGCTGGAGATGGAAATGCTGTTGTCTATGTTTCCTAACCAAGGAGAAGTAAAACTGGAAGACGTAAACGCCCTAACGAACATAAAGAGGTATCTGGACGGCACTAGGGAGGCGCTCCCACACAACATCGAATTTGTGATCACGCTTCAAATTGAGGAGCCCAAGGTGGGTGCTTTTATTTTTTTCTACGTGTTTCTGGGTGCCCGTTGTTTTAGTGTGTTTTTAATGTGTATGGCATGGGCGTTTGGCCTTGAGCATGCAACCTTGTGCATGCAGTACCCTCGGAATCCAAAGGAGGGTGGTACTGGAGTCACAGAAGTTTGTGAGACATCACGTGGGTATTTGGACTCCAACCTGGGCCCTCTAGAAGAGCAGCCAGTGCTGTGCCATCTCCATCCCCAGGTGTCCACTTTTTAACTGAAAAACCCAGTGCATGAGCTTCCTATCCAAGAATCAAATACATATCCCATTACTTGTTTGGAAGGAAGGAAAAGATACCAAACTCGAGGTGCTCCTTAAGTTCTCTTAAGAAACAATCCTGAATTTTACATAAATGCACATACTTTTTTAACAAACGTGCCTACTGTTTTCGGTGAAAACATCCTGCAGTCTTCTTATTGTTATTCTGTCTCCTCCTCGTTCAGTTTCTTACCAACCTAACTGTTAGAATGTGCCTTCTGCAGATACCACGATTTTCACAAACCTAAATGCTGCCTGCTACAAAGAGGCTTCTCAGAAGTTAGTGTTTAGGATGGTGTTGATGGCACTGACAGTAGAGAGTAACTACAAATACAAAATCTAAATGTTAACTATAAACTTACCCCCTCTCCGGGCGGTGGTGGCACATGCCTTTAATCCCAGCACTCGGGAGGCAGAGGCAGGCGGATCTCTGTGAGTTCGAGACCAGCCTGGTCTACAAGAGCNAGTGTGTTTGTACTTCCTGCAGGGGAAAAGTCTGTGCTAACCCAATACAATAACGATAATACTATTATTTAGAGCAAACATTTTTGCTTGATGGGCAAAATTCTGCTAGAATAAAATAGAAATTAAACACCAACAAAAGCCGGGCGGTGGTGGTGCACGCCTTTAATCCCAGCACTAGGGAGGCAGAGGCAGGTGGATCTCTGTGAGTTCGAGACCAGCCTGGTCTACAAGAGCTAGTTCCAGGACAGGCTCCAAAACCACAGAGAAACCCTGTCTCGAAAAACCAAAAAAATAAAAATAAATAAATAAATAAACTTACCCCGTCTTCTGATCCCTTTAACCCCAGGAGTATTAACACATATAGTATAGTGCCATGTGGACTGGACACTTGAGAACTAATGTTTTAGCTCTCACCGGCTCACGCTTCAGAGCCGGCTACTGCTTCCCAGACTTGATTTTTATATCCTTGATTACACACTCCAATGGAACCTTGAACGTTTCCCATGGTAAATACTGCTTCTCAAATTCAAATTAAATTCTCGCTATGTGTGGTCATTGTTTAACGTGTGTCTCCTTCACTGGGCTCTAGTCTAAGGCAGAAATCATGTCTGACTTTATCCCTTCCTTCTCCAGCACAGGGCACCTGGTAGTGTAGTTCAGCAACGATTTGAAAAATAACAAAAATGGCTTACAGGCATAACTTGTAGCTGGCACTTGATAACCCCGTGATTGTTTCCTGTCACAACCGTACTGTTGTCGTGATAAGCTGGCTCGTGTGGTTCTGTGGTATTGAAATCTGGGTGCTTTTTATTTTAAGGTGACAATTGATTTGCAAGTGACCATGCCTCACAGCTACCCCTACGTGGCTTTGCAGCTGTTTGGACGGTCACCTGACCTTGACAGACAACAGCAGCTTCTTCTCAACCAAGGTCTCACTGCTTATCTGGGGACCTTTGATCCTGGTGAGCTGTGTGTCTGCGCAGCCATCCAGTGGCTGCAGGACAACAGCGCATCCTACTTCCTCACCAGAAAGCTGTCGGATGAGCCGTCCACACAAGCAAAGCCGGTCAAGAACACGTTCCAGCGGATGTGGATCTACAGCCACCACATATATCAGCAGGACCTCAGGAAAAAGATCCTGGAAGTGGGCAAGAGGTTAGATGTGACTGGATTTTGCATGACGGGAAAGCCTGGCATAATCTGTGTGGAGGGCTTCAAGGATCACTGTGAGGAATTCTGGCACACAATCAGATACCCCAATTGGAAGCACATTTCCTGCAAGCACGCCGAGAGCGTGGAAACAGAGGGGAACGGTGAAGACCTGCGCCTCTTCCATTCTTTTGAAGAATTACTCCTTGAGGCCCATGGCGACTATGGACTGAGGAATGATTATCACATGAACCTGGGCCAGTTCCTAGAGTTTCTCAGAAAACACAAAAGTGAGCATGTTTTTCAGATACTATTTGGTATTGAAAGCAAAAGTTCAGAGTCCTAGGACTCCATTAAAATGCTTGTAATTGTACTAAGTATTTATGTTAATAAGACCAAAATAAAAGGGCAAATGGCTCTGTATAATTCTGGGTGAAAACCTGCTCTAGAATTTTCTGACTGATAATGAAGCAAATTCTATCAGTGTAACTGTGATGTTGTTTCCAGGTTGCTGTGTAAAGTCGCACCTGAATACCATTTCATTATAAATTAATAAAACGGTCTATTTAACCAGAGAAACTTGGCTCAACAAGTCCAAAGCCAGGCTAGAGAGGTGGCTCAGAAGTTAAGAGCACTGGCTGCTTTTCCAGAGGCCACTGCCATCTGTAACTCCAGTTCCACTGGATCTGACGCCCTCTTCTGGCCTTCCAGGCACTGGGCTCACACGTGGTACACAGACATAATCAGGTAAGACACCCATACCCACACACAAATGAATAAATGAAGTCCCAAGCCCCACAGTTCATGTCAAAAGCCAGACTGCAGATATAGATTCATATATCTGAGACATAGTTGCACAGCACCGGCACAGATGATACGCCAGCTCATCACTGGGAATGAAATCTAAATCACAGGTAAACTGAGAAGAGTGCCTGTTTAGTACATTTCTTACTTTAAAAACCCTACGTGAAGTGTTTCAGTAAAACTAGATGCTAACAGCAGCAGCCGAGATCACCATAAGGTCTCGGGCACATACACAGAATAACACATTAGTGCTGTATGCCAGTATGCATTTAAACATAGCAAAAGGGAGAGAGAACTGAGGATCACTAAGGAGGGCACACCATCACCTTTGGGGAAAAGGCAAACTACATTTTCAGTGGTAAGTCTAAAGTCCCACCAGCCTTTTTCAAAATGAAAGTTGAATAATTTTTAAAAAACCCTAATAAGGAGCTGGAAAGAAAGTTCAGTGATCAAGAGCAGCGGCTGCTCTTCCAGAGGATCTAGGTTCAATTTCTAACACCTAAACGGTGGCTCACAACTGTCTGTAACTCCAGTTCCAGGGTACTTGGTGCCCCCTTTGGCCTCTGAGGACACCAGTCACACATGGTACACAGATATACATCCAGAGAAACATATACATGAAACATTGTAAAGAGTCTCACTAAAGTAGTTTTTCTCAATCATTTTGTTGCTAGGTATCTAGCCCGAGAATTCCCAGACATCTATGTGCCAGGGGACCTTCCCCTCCTTCTGGGAACCATCACACTCCTGCTGGGTCTCAGGCTGACGACTTGGACTCTTCAGGAGGCCAAAGTGGCAGGATTTAGTGTAGAGGAATGCCCCCACTCCCCATGAAACATCATAGCTGCCAGTGCTGTATGCATTGAGGAACCTGAAGAAGCCTCTGAGGAGCCAGTACCTTCATACCTGCTGTTTGTGCAGATGGAAGGAAGCTCAGGCCCTTGGGCTGGGGAGAGCGCTCGATGCCTCCTCAGAGTCCCCTGTGCCCATGAGGCTATAAAACTGGCTCCATTGTGTAGCTCATTAGGAGTCTTCTCAAAGTACAAGTCAGTCGGTGAATGCTCTGGCGATGCCCTGTCTGGAAAGACCTTAGCTCCCCCCCACTCATTTTTCAATCCCTTTTTATGCCAATGGAATCCAAGCTGGGGCCTCACACCTTACCTACATAGAGGAGGATGAAACAGGACTTAACATCTCCAATCTCTCCGTGTTTGCCAAAACTAAACACACCATACCTATCTCCTTAAACTACCAATCATTAAACCAACATTTGCAAATCTTAGGCCCTTTTAAACTCCATTAACCCTTTGTCCTTTGAAATGAGACCATGCTATACGGTTGACCCACAGAGGACTTCCCCTACAATTAAGTTATCAAAAATGGTTTCCTGAAAAACAAACAACTTATGGAGTAAAATATGGAACAAAACTAGATTATTACATAATTCAACGAGCAGAATACATTCAAGTCTCTGAACTCATGACTGCCTCTGGAGCTACTTCTAAGAATTTTTTTCAAGTATTCTGCTCTAACGTGGCCAGTATGAGCATTAGCACTGAACAGGACTTTAGGGTGTTACCAACAGACAGTTGTTAGAGGTTCCGATTTTACATTAAAATGTCTGCTTGCACATGCATGTCTACATACATATGTACATACATAAGATCTCATTCAAAACCCACAGCACACGGCTATTGTGTGTGCCCAGAGCAACAGGAACACACACCAACCTCGCTCATGCACACATGGCTTTGGGAACAGTCCCTTCTTCTGTACAGTTCAGAGAAGTAACTGGAACCAGCCAGCCTCAGCCCCAGCCCCAGGGAGAAGTGTTCCTGAGTTCCTGCTACCAGGAGCATCTCTGGCCCCCTGAATGACCCAGCTTCTCCATACCTCCTCAGCTGCTAATGATATTCTAAGTTAAAGTCTTTAAATGGCTATTTGGGAATAATACTTGTTCATAACAATCAAGGTCTCCTTGAAGTTTACTGAGTTAGGCAGTTTCTCAAGAGTGTATTTGTCTTTTATTATTTATTGATATATTGAATCTTCACTAAAAGCTGAAGACACTTGAGTGAGCAGCAGGGGGTGCCTTAGCTAACAGGCCATCCAAGGCAAGCATGTTACCTGTGAGACTGAGTTCTCATGTAACTAAGCTGAGAGATCAAAACTCAAAGGGACTCCTAGGGTACCCAATTCAAGGAGTTTTTTTTTTTTTTTTTTCTTTTACTGCAAGTGCCCTATTGTAATTCTATAGAATAGTTATATCCTGAAGGGACATCGTTTTACTCCAAAACCCAGGTTTTATGCAGAATCCTGATTTGTCAGAGAAACTAAACCAATTTAGTTTTCCTTCGTAAGGCCCATGTGGAAGAACACTGCAGTAAGTCATCACCTAAGAGACCCCTCTCTGTCCACGCCCAGTCAAAGCTAGAGGCATTTGGATCAATCCATAAAGGGGTTTAAGCAATGCATACAAATTTTTCTAAAGTCCCTCAAATAGCCAACTATTGAGCTTACCGGTCTATAATCCCAGCATATGGAAGACAAAGACAGAGTTAGAAGGATGCAAATTTGAGGTCAGCCTGGGCTACCTGGCCAAATTCTGTCCAAAGAGTCCGCCAAACACCAAGGGTTCCCTTCTCTAGAAAGAGGAATGAAGTATACAATGTGTCCTTCATTATGAAGGAGACATATTTACATTCCTACAGGCAAAAGGATTCTCACTGCACTGGGCCAGCTTGTGCTGAGAACTAATTCTACATGTCTCCATGACTGCTGCAAAATACTGATGTACAGTCATCTGGGGGTTTGGGTTTGTTTGTTTATTTGATTGATTGATTGATTTTGTGTTTGTTTGGCAGGGACTGCACCCAGGACCTTGTCCATGCTAGATTAGAGCTCTACCATCCAGTTACCACCCCAGCCCTCATCTGACAGTTTCTAATGACCAGCCTTTAAGGTTCCTGATCTTTCTTCTACTAACTGATGTAAGCCTCCAATGACTTCGGTTATGTCCTTTTAAAATGATACTTTCATTACTTTTCTAAGAGTTTCACACAAAATCTGTCTTTCCCATTCACTCTCCTCCCCCAGCTCCTCTCAGATTCCCCACGGCCTCCCCACCCACCTATCCAGATTGTTTTCCTCTCTCGCTAAACCTACGAGTTCATCTGTGCTGCCCAAACACAACTTGGGTGTGGAGCCTGCACTGGAGAGCGGTCCACCTACCGGGAGCACACCAGTAGAGAGGACTGTCTCCTTCTCCCAGCAACTATCAGATGTCAACAGGTCCCCTACTAGGGGTGGGACTCACTGACACCGCCTTTATTCATCCTGGGATTTTGTCTGGCTTGAGCCATTTAGTTCTTTATCCCTGTGTTTATGATAAAAATCTGTTGTTACCTTTCCCCTAAATTTTAATCACATTATTATAGTATTTATTCTCTAATTCTTGTGTGATAACACAAGGCAGATCTGTCATTCTATGCCAAGTTTCCCCTTCTAATTAAGGATCATACCTTTATGCTTTTTCTGTATTATTTTTACTTTGTAATTGTATACTGAACATTCTTTTCAAAGAGGACGGAGCATTTTTTTCTTCTAAACGAGTACTTCGTGTCATTTCTTCTAGAATCAGGTGGGAAGCTGTGAAACTTACGTAGGATTTACATTAGGTCAGGATTGGTAACAGCTTTAGTTAGTTCGGGCACTGCTTACAGGAGCAGGGCTTATCTTGGTATGACTGAAGCAATCTTCCCCCCCCCCCACATATTTTAGAATGCATTTACTCACTTCCTTAGAAACATAAACAAAAACTTGACTTATGGCAAAGTCAATGCTACATTGTCATCTTATCTGCTTCCTCTTGCAGCCCTGGACCAAAAAAGGACAGCATGTTTCTGTACTGCAGCGGACAGCCAGCTCAGTGCAGGGAGAAGTCCCCGCATTGATGCTCCATATCTTCTTGTCCTTTTGGTGACTCTGGAAGTCACAAGATAAAAACGGGAGCACTACAAAATGAAACGGCTCTCCCCTGAGCGCATTAAACGTAAGCCAGCAGAATGCTTTTATAGTGAGAGAGAGCCTTGCCATTACTGTAGCCTTCGTCATATAGGACTGTCCCGAATGTAAGGATTGTTTCTGGGGTGAAATGTCTTCGCAGTAAGGCACCCCAGAGAAGAGCACAGTCTCGCGCTGGGTGGGATGGTGTACTGGCAGTCCAGCACTTGGGCGGCTGACACAGCAGGCAGGAGGTGCATGAGAAAAAGGCTAGCCTGTGGCTAGTCTGACTGACTGATCAGGGCAAAGTCATACTGCCTTTGAAACATTTGGTATCAACCCAACAAAACAACTCAATAATGCTTATATTAATTATATTTTGAAATAACATTTTAGATATATTGGTTATTAACATGAATTCCAATGTTTTTAATCATGCTACTAGAAAACTTGAGAATCCCCTTCTGACAGCGCTGCACTAGAAGACTGCAGACTAGTGGAAGGAGAGGGCAGGAAGACGGCCAGCATGGACTCAGATCCTGCCTCCGTTGTTTCTGAGATCTGCAGGGTTGACAAGTGACTAAACTATCAACCTCATGAGGAAGCCACCAGGATACGGCAGATGAGATGATGCACTGCTGTTGTGGGATATTATTAATATGTTGGTTTAATGATGCAAAGATGGACTGCATCATTCTTTGTGTTGCATTCATCTGTTTAACTCTGAAGCTGTGTTACTTTGTCTGCCTAAAACACCTGATTGGTCTAATAAAGAGCTGGATGGCCAGCGAGGCAGGAGAAAGGATAGGCAAGGCTGGCAGGCAGAGAGAATAAATAGGAGAAATATGGGAAGAGATCTAGGAACAACAAAAAAAGGAAGAGGACATTAAGGGTCAGTCACCCAGATATACAGCAAGCCACAGAGAAAGAAGTAAATAAAGGCATAAAGAAATAGAGAAAGGTAAAAGCCCAGAGGCAAGATAGATGGGGTAATTTAAGATAAGAAAAGCTGGCAGGAAATAAGCCAAGCTAAGCAGCAACATCCATGTGGTTTATTTGGGAGCTGGGCCCCCAAAGAACTAAGAGTAAAACAACCGGCTACACACTGCTTGCCATGTAGGAGCAACCATCTAATGCCACCTTGACCATCTCTCCGTAGGACAGGACGAGGTCACGCACAGCACCCAGCACACGTGCTTACACACATATTAAAGGAAGTCCACACGGGAATAAGCAGTTATTAGAATATTTTAAAACTTCATAATACCTTGGAATTGTAGACATGGGTCAGAGGTTACAATTGTGCGCTTGCTGCTCTTCCAGAGGACTCCGGTTCAGGTCCCAGCCCCACATGGGAGAGGGGCTCACAACTACCTGTGACTCTAGCTCCAGGGGATCTGACACCTACTTCTGGCCTCTGTGGGCACCAGGGAAAACCAGAGCAAAAGCACATGTGCACGTGCTCACACACACATACAAAATAAAAAATAAATCTTCTTTTTAAAATGCTTAATAAATCAGGTGGTAGTGGTGCATACCTTTAATCCCAGCACTCTGGAGGCAGAGGCAGGGGGATCTCTGTGAGTTCCAGGCCAGTCTGGTCTACAAAGCTAGTTCCAGAACAGCAAGAGCTCCATGGGAAAATTGTGTCTCAAAAAAATAAAAACAAAAACAAAAAAATAATAACTTTTCATTTGACCCAGAAATATCACTGTAAATGGCAGCAATATATTAAGAAAAATGACAATTATTTACAATGTTATTCATGTTTTCTATGCTTTAATAATCTTTTGCATAGGTAAATACATTCAGTTAAACTATTTGACAACACGGAAACAGACAAGAAATTGATAGGAATTCTGAATCTTTCCCAAATACACGGAGGAAACTCTTAACCAAAGTTGCCATTAGAAACTCTCCACTCTTTCACCTCACATTTGAAAGAATCTGGGTAGCCTTCACCTTTGAGGCCCACTTTACAGAGGGGCCGTCTGAAACACCATGTAGGCTTTACAGCATCACTTCAAAACCAGAAGTGTTTCTGGATATGCAGAATGTTCTCGAACCTGAGCTAGGATCCATCATCAATTTTTCCAGTAAATTAACACAGCCTGGGACATGGTTATTCTCCCTCACCGGAAGGTTTAGAAATTAACGTATTTTGGTATCTGATAGAGAGTTAGACATAGGAGACGTAGTCACTCACACTGTGAGTTCTCAGTCACCTGAGCTAACCAGAGGAACATTAGGGCAGGCGACTCTCATGGATCCCTAGCTTATCTGGGAACCATGGTCTTGCTTCTGACACCCTTGTCTCGGAGCAGGCCTCCTCGGAGCTCCTTTGCAAGGATTCTCCTTGTGGTCTTTCTCACTGTCCAGGCCACGCTAACAAAACATCCCAGTCTCTCAGCAGGGCCAGGAGCTGGGCAAAGTGTTTGGTCAGAGATGAGGAAAAGAGCTTTTGTGGAGGGCCTGGGACTCAAAACCAAAGCGATGAGAGCTTTACTCTCTGGGATGTAACAGTAGCAGAAGACTGTTTAGACCTAAGGCTGCACAGGCACTGTAAACAGCATTAGCTTCCCTGGAGGAGTGAAAGAGTTCGGTTGTGCAAAAAGAACACGGCTAACAGAGGCCAGGAATAAACGTCCTGAGAAGAACTTTCTCTAGGCAGCCAAGTAGTGTTTCTGTTTAGTAAAAGTTCAGCTATGCCTAAGTTTGGGTTTACTTTTTAAAAGATTTTAACAAAATGGCCAAGAAAGAACTGTAGGCATTGATATGATCAAGTTCCACTATGTTAGCTGATTACTAATTTGGTTCTTCCATTGGCTTCCTACGTTACCAGCGACGAGTTTCTCAGCAGCAGGTACAATAGCTTTTGAACAGAATTTGTAAAGAAAATAATTAAAACGGAAAACATAAATAATCAGTAAGTAAAATAAAACTGCACTGTGAGGTTTACCCTAGTTCAATAGACGTCCACGGTCTGATTGTTAAACTACATCACCTTATTCTAAGTACGCTGTGAATCATTATAAAGATTCCAACCTTAGAAACTATGAAAACTTCAGGGTCTTATCAGCAAGGGTAGAAATTCTAGCTGCTGTAGTCACTGACTGACTTTGGTCTGGACTTTCTGGACTTCTTCAGGCCAAGAATAACAATCAGGTAGGATCTGGTCATAATCGGTGCTGTACATCTGGGAGCAGACAAATTCTTCCTTGTTTTGGGGCTCAGGATACACAGTGGCCATCTTTTCTCTGTATGCATCTGTCACAATCTAGAAACAAGGAAGGCAAGTCATTGTTTTAATAGTGAGAAGGTGATGTTGAACACAAATCAAGTTTTTATCCATTTCAAAAATTAATCTTTAATTTGTACTACAGTAAAAGCCACACACAAAGCAAGATGAAAGTGAACATGCAGCTATAAATCACAGGTAGCAAGGGGGGGATGATACTGGTAACCAGGGAAAGCCTCAGTAGCAGAGATTTAGGCGTGAACAGAGTCAGTTTTCTCAGACAGTCCTGACATGCCTTGCTGCTGGTTAGCCTGGACTGAAGTCCCAGTCTCTCTGTGCTTCTCCAGCCTTCCGGTCACAGCAAGAGCATCTTCCAGCTCACTCTCCCGTGCACAGCACTCTCTCAGCACCCACAGCCACGCCTGCCGCCCCACTCACCACTTGCAGAGGACAAGCAGATATTTCTTTCTTGTCCCTCTTTATGTTTCTGTCCTCTCCATCTCCACGACAGACTTAGACATCTGGATATACCTGGGGACCTCAAACCTGCAGCCCCTTCTAGCAGCTTCCTCCCTGAAACTGGCTCTCCACTCTGAGTGCTCAGCTTCTGTGGAGGTGACTGCCCAGTATTCTAAGTAATACAGATTCGGGCTCCACATCATTCAGGATCCATGAGTCTTTATTCCCTCTACTGCCCCTGCTTTCTTACTTTCTCTTCTAATTGTATGCTACCTCATTGTCATTTAACTTATCAAAATAAACCTAAAATGATAGCATGCTGTACAGCACACAAATAATTAAAACTAAAAACTGATATAGATCAGAACAAAATATGAGGCTGTTTTTCCATAAAATACAGACACTCCCACCATTAGCTGAAGTTTTTTGAAGTGCTTATTTTGTAGACTACACCCTCAATCAACAAGATAAACGAAAACATGTGGCTCGTATACGCTGCTATTTAGGTAAACTTAGGATAGTGTAAACTACTGAAGTTCAAATAGGAAGTTTGGTATGCAAGAAGACCTAACAATGTCCAGCTACCTTTTGACTTGCTTACTTTTGACTGCGCAGTTGAAACTGTGCAGGTGCTACTGACCCCTAGTGGCCAGAGGTTGAAAATGCCAACCATATCCAGTTTAAACAAACTGTTAGGGATCAAGTTGGTGTTGGCCCACATATAAACTTCTACGCTGGTACCTTCACCAGGAGTACTTCAGAAAGGCAGTGAAATTTTCTCTAGCACAGATGAGTGGGATTGCCTTAGTGATGTGGTTGTACTAGTTTGCCATAGTTGACACAACCAAGTGCCACATTCTGGGTGGCTTAAACTAAACAGAAAATTTAAAAAAAAAAACTATCCATCTATCTGTCCATCTATCTATCTATCTATCTATCTATCTATCTATCTATCTATCGTCTGTCTGTCTGTCTGTTTATTTATCTATCATCTGTCTATATTCTGTGGAGGCTGTACACCCCAGGTCAAGATGCCAGTAAGTTTGGCTTCTCAGGTCTGTGCCCTTGACTTGGTGGCTGCCTTCCTGCTGCGTCCTTGGAGTCTTCTCTGTATATGCTCATCTATGGTGTTTTTTGCTGTCCAATTTTTTTCTTTTAAGAACAGAAGTGAAGTGGATTAGGGCCATCCTAAAAGCCGTATTTTAACTTTGGTTCCTGGCCAAGTCCTGCTGCTGCTCATCTGTCCCCACAGCTGCTTTTGAGTTCTTTGTCCTCACTGTTTTTCCCATGTTAGGCAGCTAATAAAACATTAGCAGGCTTGGAGGTCATTGGGGATGGACCCTACCTTAACGCTCAGCTTTAAGCTCTACCTCCTATGGTCCAGGTAAGGAAGAGGAAAAACATCAAAAGCACCTCCTTACAATTTGAAAAACCATGTGTGGTCATTTGAAGGAGAATGGTCCCCATAGGCTGCTCAGATGTTTAAACACTTAGTCCCAAGTTTTTAGAACTGTTTGGGGAGGCTTAAAAGAATGGCGTTGTTAGAGGAGATGTGCCACTGGGCAGGCTTTGAGATTTCAAGACTTGCTCCATTCCCAAACTCCAAAACAATAAATCTTTCCATCTATTTATTTCTTTGTTTGTTTGTTTTGGTGATGCGCACCTTTAATCCAGCACTCAGAAGGCAGAGGCAGTTGGATCTCTTGAGTTGGAGGCCAACCTGGTCTACAAAGTGAGGTCCAAGACAGCCAGGGTTACATGGTTACAGAAAAACCTTGTCTCAAAAAAACAGCAACAAAAAAGGATTATATAGCTTTGATGAAAATAAAACATTTCAGTTCCTACTATCAACAGTCTGACAGAATTTAAAACGGACACACTCATTCACATACATACAGAAACTGGTGTTTGGGTTAAATAAGCTAACAGCCAACATCAAGAGTGTGTGTGATCACACTCCAGCAGTGTGTGTCTTCTGTGTGTGTCACTCCTGTCAGAGAAGGATTACCAGGAAAGGCAGGGATGGATGCTGCCTTTCAGACTACGTGAACCAGCCTGAGGCTGTTTCCTTCTAGAGAACAGAGTGTTGAGATCCCAGTGCACAGCCACCATGCCATCCCATCGGAAACACCATTCTCTGTGACTATTCCCTGCCTCTGTCGCCTCTCCATGGTGAGGCCAGCATGATGGATTTAGGGAGACTTACAAGATGGCCCAAACAACAACTCTTAAAGAACGAAGACCAGGATGAAGCCAGAAGGTGGGAAGAAACACAGCACACGTGAACGCAGACATGCTACAAGATGGAGGGTCAGGACCCCTTACTGAGGCAAGGGGTCACTGCTCACCCCAGGAGCCTCTTCCTGGCTGCAGCTACTGACAGAACACTGCTAGGCTGCCTCCTCTCTGAGCTCTGGCTGAGAAAACAGAACCTGTTCCTCTGGCCCTGACACTGCACTCTCCCCGCACCCCCACTAGGACACACACATGTAATTGATCACTAATGCCCTCTGCTGAACTTGCCTGCTTTTTTTTTCCTCTGCGTATCTTTCACTGTCCTGAAACTTGCTCTGTAGACCAGGCTGGCCTTGAATTCACAGAGATCCGCCTGTCTCTGCCTCCCCAGTGCTGGGATTAAAGGTCTGCCTGCTTTCTTGACCCCTAGATGACAAGGTATGGTTTCCTCTCTCATCCAGCACCGCCTCCCACTAAGAGCACAGCTTGCCCGCCCAGATGTCTTTTCCTCAAATCCCAGTGAAGCCCCCTTGAGTTCCCTTTTGATTCAGAGTTTGATTATTTTATCGTCAGGACTAATAACTTGCCAAAGGGGCCCTATGTCTCCCGACACTGTCTTTCATCACGCTCTAAGTCAGTGGTTCTCAACACGCGGGTGGCGACCCCTTCGCAGTCTGAAAGACTACCACGGGAAAACACTGATATTTTCACCACGATTCCTAACAGTAACAAATCATGTGGTCAGGGTCACCACAACCTGAGGAACTGTATTAAAATGTAACGGCATGAGGGAGGTTGAGAACCGCTCTTCTAAGTCCTAAACAGGGACATGGCAGGAGGTTGCAGGTGTAAATGTCACTCCAGTGAGTCTGTGGAACTATAAACCACTATACAGAGCTACAGTAAGGCGAACCGGAGAAGCCTGACCAGCTGGAATGAAATGTAAGTCGCAGGAGGAAAATGGAGGGCAAATCTACAACCAGCCCCATGTTTCCAGCCATCTCTGAGGATGACATGCAGCTCCCCCAGCGCTCCCCTCACCAGGCCTCACTCCCTTGAGTCCTACACAATGAGCGCACATGCGAGCAGGCATGTAAAATAGCAACAACACATATCTAGGGAGGAAAAACAACAAGGCTACGTGGTTTTTACCTTCACTGCAATTTTCAATGAGACATCTCGAATTGTACTCAGAGGGGGGTAGAGCCGGCCCTCTTCCAGGTGTTTATCTGACACCTGCTGAGATATGACCTTTAAAAGAGAAAAGCAGTAAAAATGATTAGACATCACAGGACTCATGGTAAATATACAGATAACTAAGGGAATGTCCATGTGCGAAAACTATCACATGAAGTGACTGCCTAAGATGCCCCTCCATCAACAGAAAAGCTACGTCATGGCAGCCGCTGTGGCCACACCGAGAATGAAACAGAGGAGAATCCAGGTTCCCTGTTGGTTCAGTCCTTCACAGTAAACCATAACATACTGGATATTTCCTAGAGGAACGGATGAAGACGAGGGCAGCTAGCCAGGGCAGACCCAGTATCACTCAGGATTCACGCAGGGGCTAAGAAGAGAGCTTGCTCAGTTATACCCTGCGAAGGGACTTAACTTTTACCCAGACCCTTGGTTATCACCTTACCTAGCCAACCTCCCCAGTTCTCCCCCTAAGCTACTCCCTAGCTCCAGACAGAGTGACAATTAAGTCACTGCACAGGTCAGTCTAGGTCAGCTCACAGCCGGGCCTTGAGCAGAAATGCTGGGGCAGAGTTGAGAGAGAAAACCTTCACTGGCAACAAATAGTGTCTGTCTGTCTGTCTCTCTCTCTCTCTCTCTCTCTCTCTCTCTCTCTCTCTCTCTCTCTCTGCATTAAACCTGGGGCTTGGTAGACACTAGGCAAGTACTCTACCACTGAGCTACACCCCAGCTCTGTTAGAATCTTAAATATTCTTTAATTTTACTTATTTTTTATTACTTATCCAGATTACTATTATAATGGGGGGACGGACAGGAATCAGAGACAAATTTGGATGTGTCTTAAGCCCTGTGTCATGGCTCTGGGATCAGAAAACCTTCATCCTATAATCCTAAGTGAATGAGCTGTCGCTCTTTTTGAGATGGGGCCTCACTATGAAGCTCTGGCTGGTCTGCAACTAGAGAGGTAGACCAAGTTGATCTTGACCTCACAGAGATACTCCTGCCTTTGCCCCAGGCAGTTATTTCAAAGATAGCACACCAACAGGCCTTGCTTGGCTCCACCTACAGCACCACCAACAAACACAAGCTTGGCTCCTCTTAAAGAAGTCTCCAGGGCAGTCAGGTAACATGCAGAACAAAAGGAGATACTGGAGGAGACAGCCTGGGCTGCAGGAGAAACGTGAGCTAATCGCCGCGGTGACAGAAGGCTCACTGGCGAGGCCAGGAGGCCTGACTAAGGGGCTGAGGAGAAACTGGGAGTCACACACACACACACACACACACACACACACACACACACACACACACAGGGCAGGCGCTGCAGACAGCACGGAGATCCCAGATATGTGGAGTAGATGCTGTGACAACCTGCCCTGAGCCAGGGTTGCACAGAAAAGAGAAATGGAATACACAGGCACTGTGCGGGGCTGAGAACTTCTCACCAGGAACAACCAGGCAAAGCCAAAGCGGGAGAAGCAGTACAACTAGTACCGGATTAGTGCGATTTTATTATATAAAAAGTGATAACCTGGCGTGGTGGTTTGAATAAGGATGACCCCCATAGGCTCAAATAGTTACATGATCGACCCCCTGCTAAAGAACTCTTTGGGAGATTAGGAAGTGTGGACATTTTGGAGGGGCTGTGTCACTGGGACTGGGCTTTGAGATTTCAAAAGCCCATGCCTCCATGCCCAGTTCCCCAGCCTGCCTATCTCCAGAGCAGATGTAGCTCTCAGCTACTTTTCAGCATCTGATCTCCCCGCCATGATGACAATGGACTAACCATCTGACACCATAAACAAGCTCCCAACTGAATGCTGTCTCTTAGAAGAGTTGCCTTGGCCATGGTCATGGTATCTGGTCACAGCAATAGAACAATGACTAAGACACCCAGACTTAGAAAATATTAACTCTGATAATATAATAAATTCATTTAACTAATTAATTTCTTGCTTTTGTTACATGGTAGTAAACCCAAGTTTCCCTTTGCCCCGAGATGGTGACCCGGGTCCCAAACTTTAGCCAGAGGCATTAAATGTCCTACCACCAGAGTGGCTGTGCCATTTCCCACAAAACAAAGCAGGGGGAGGAACCAGTCACTCACACTGACAGCCACTCCTTTGCAGAGCTCAGGCAGGGACAGCTCATGGGTTGTGTGGTTTTCCTCATGTAAGGCCTAGTGAGGAATGTCAGGGAACTCCCAACCTACAAACGGGATTAGAACCTAGCTGGGTGTGCTGGTGCACACGTTTACCCAGCATTCAGGAGTCAGAGGCAGACAATCCTGTGAGTGTGAAGCTAGGAAACTAGCCTGGTCTGCATAGTGAGTTACAGGCCAGTCAGTGACACACTGAGAGCCTGCCTCAAAAACAACAGCAATGACAAACAAATCAAAAACAAACAAGACAGACGGAAAGGAAAGGAAAGGAAAGGAAAGGAAAGGAAAGGAAAGGAAAGGAAAGGAAAGGAAAGGAAAGGAAAGGAAAGGAAAGGAAAGGAAAGGAAAGGAAAGGAAAGGAAAGGAAAGGAAAGGAAAGGAAAGGAAAGGAAAGGAAAGGAAAACCTGCCTTGGCACTACAGCGATGTCCCAGAGACTGAGAGCTCCAGCTGGTCTTTTGGAGGGCCAGGGTTCAATCCCTAACCCCCACATGGAAACTCACAACTGTCTACGACTCCAGGTCCATGGATCCTCTGGTCCATGAGCACAAGGCCACACACAGTGTACTTACATACAGTGTACTTACATACAGTGTACTTACACACAGTGTACTTACACACAGTGTAGTGTACTTACACACAGTGTACTTACATACAGCAAGGAAAACACTGAACACAGAAAATGAAAAAAAAAATTTTAAAGACTCTAAATCACTAAATCCCTAAGGACACAAGAACTACCCCAAACAGCAGACAGAAACAATGGAGTGGCTCATTCCCTCTGAGACAAACACACTCTGCACAAAGCAGAACTGTCAGGCCCTGTTTGTGTACAGTGGTGCAACTCGGTGTCGTTTACATCCATGTCCAAGACCAAAGTCTCAGAGGGAACTTAGCCCTGTTGTGTTACAGTAGAATTTTCAATATCTGAAGAGAGCAAAGGGTTCCTACCCACACACCAAGTCAAATGCATGCTAGTGCAAACACAACTCTGATGTAATGCTGCACACTGCACAGGTTGTGGAGACTGAACTGAGCTGCATTGTTGGTTACCAGCACCAGGAAAGTTAAAAATCTCTTTATAATTAAAAAGAAGATTCAGGAACAGAGGCTGGAAAGATGATTTGGGAAGTAAAATGTTTGCTGCACAGTCATGAGAGTCAGAGCTCAGTCCCAGCACCTGCACACACTCACCCCGCCCCCTGCCGTGGTGTATGCCTGTAACCCAGCACTAGAGGCGGAGACAAGAGGATCACGCCCACCCACACACCTCTGTCCGTAGCTCCCTAGCCAGTCAGTCTAGCCAACTAGTGAGCTCTGGACTCAGAGAAAGAGCCTGTCTTCACACACCTGTGCACACACATGCACTCACACCTGCCTAAGTACATCCACATACACTACTCACACATACAAAAAAGACAAAATCCTAGGAATCCAGAAATAACCTTTCAGATCTGATCCAATCTATGAGACTTCCAGTTTCATACGTAACCAAACTAGCATTTAAATTTTTATTTTATATTTTACATATGAGTTGTTTTGTCTGCAAGCATGTCTAAGCACTGCATGTGCCCATGCCTGGTGCCCTTGGAAGACAGAAGATGTCAAACTCCCTAGAACCGGAGTTACAGATGGCTGTGAGGCACCATGTGGCGTAGGTGGAGGATGCTCGTCAGTTTCCCAGCTTCCCAGACCCGAAATAATCACACAGAAACTATATTAATTGCAATACTGTTTGGCCAATAGCTTAAGCATATTTTTACCTAGCTCTTACATCTTAAATTAGCCCATTTCTATTATTTTATATTTTACCATGAGGCTCGATTCTATAGCGTCTGTCTCCTTCAATGCTTACATGGAAATCTCCCTGACTCCACCTTCTTTCCTCCTCTATCTACTTGGAATTCCAGCCTTACTCTATTCTGCACTGCTATAGGCCCAATTGCTAACCAATGGAAATAAAGCATATTCACAGCCTACAGAGGGGAATCCCACATCAATGTAGGCTGAGAATTGAACCCATGTCCTCCGGGAAAATGGCCAGTCCTCTTACCCACCAAGCCATGTCTCCAGAACTTTCAAACCAATGTTTTTGGTTTTTTTTTTTTATGTTTTGGTTTTGTTTTGTGTTTGTTTTTGCTATAATACTAAAAGTGATAAGCCTGGGCTTGTCAAATAAAGCAAGTTCATCTGTTACTTCAGTTCTCTGGTTAGCTGAACCAGACCATCCAGACAGCCTTCTCTAGGCCCTCTGGCAATGGGCATCCACAGCACCGGATCTGTTCTTCCTGTTACACTGTGTCTGGTGTTGCTGGACTCAACAGTGTGCACGTACGGCTTCTACTCCATGTTAGCACTGCACTAGCTGTTCCTGGCATCTGGAGAATGGCTTTAAAGAGAGCGACTTCTTTAGTTAAAGTGGTTCTCAAGAACAAACACCAAACAGGAAGAAGAGTCAGTGTCAGTGTTTAAATAGTAACTGCCCAAGGGCTGGGAGATGACTGAGCTCACACCAGCATGACAGCCTGAGGCAGACCTCAGCCCCTAAGCAGGGGAGGGGCGGCAAGGAGCTGCAGCTTACACTAAGGACCCCAGTGCTCGGGAGGCAGATGGGTGGACCTTGCTGGTCAGCCAGCCCACCCAAACCAGCAAGTCCCGGGTTCAGTGAGAGACCTGTCTTCAAATACTAGATGGAAAGCAAAGTGGAAAACACCCCTAATTGCATATGTGTGGACGAACACAGACAGACAGACAGACACACAGACACACAGGGTCTTAATTAGAAGGGAGATGAAGAGACAAGGAAAGCAAGCAGGGGAGAGAGTGTCGTATAAAATATGAGATAACTGGAGGCCAAGACGCAGCCGAGAGAAAACTCGCAGTGAGGAGAGCTCCGCTGAGCACAGCGCTGCTCTCTCTTCCTTGGTCTGGCTTTGGTGTTCCCTGTGCAGCGCAGGCTGACCTGGAGCTCTCCACAGCCAAGACTATTCTAAAGCTTGAAATGCAACACCGAGGCCTCCCAAGTGACCCACCACACCCAATTACTTTGATTTCCTTCCAAAAAGAAAAAAGAATATTTGGCTCAGGGTGTCACCACATAACTCTGGCTGGTCTGAAGCTTGGTATGCAGACCAGACTCTCCTTGAACTCACGGAGATCCACTTGGGATTAAAGCCTTAGCCTTTAGTGCATCACTATTAATGAATGAGAAATAAAAAAGTATTTACTTGACATTGTCACTAGGGGGCGCTAGAGCTACAGGAACAAAACAGGCTAAAGCGACTCAAGTTCATCTGTTTTGTCCTAAAAGAAAAGGTTATATTTTCCTTTATGTAAAAACCTTAAAATGCTCTTAGTAATTAGATATCTATTTGAATTTCACAATATTTTTGAGTTAAAAAACAGACACACCAGCTGTTGAACTTTTGACCCTGCGAAGGAATGCCTGAGGAAAGCTACAGCATCCAGGCATCTAGCCCGCAGAGGGAGGCAGGTGCTAGCCTGGCTGTGCCCTTTGATCCCGCTAGTAACTGGAATCTGCCCCTGTTCTTGGGGTTCCTCCTCACAGTGCAAAGAACTGCATGCTTGCAGGATACATGCTTTAGACCAATCAGGTTTCATCTGGCTCAGTTCAGCTATGATGTCATACAGCATTTAATCTGCTGAGAGAAACCGACAAGTTTCTCACTCATGGCCACCCGCTGTCACCATCCTGAGGAGGCTCAGGATGCAAAGGGAGCAGTCACAGGATCGCTGCAGCTTGGAAAACAAAGCTCTTCATCTCTGAGCAGAAGCTCCCTGTCTCTGCCAGTGTCTATGAAACCAGGGCTAACTTGTTAGCCTGCAGCTGGGTAAAACCGGCTCTCACTGTACACGATTTCCTGGGTTCTGAGAGGGGCCTTTCCTGAAATCCTAGGGAAGAACCAGAATCTCCTGTGGCAGTTCCCTAAAGCAGTCTCATTACAGTTTTACTTATTTACGAGGGGGAGGGTGGTACTTGCATGCCACGGCACCCATGTGGAAGTCGGAGACCAAGCTGCAGGAGACACTTTTCTCCCACTATGTCAGTCCTGAACACTGAATCAGCTTCCAGTACTGGTGGCAAGCATCTTTACCCACGGGACCATCTCAGCAGCCCCTTTAGTGATCATATAAACACGTAATGCCCCGTTTTAATTTCATTTCTGCTTAAATACTAGTGCGGCTTCTACTTTCTGCACTGAAACATCGATGACAGCCACTTCTACTATACTATGTCAGACTTCCAAAGGTCATCCTTTAGGAAGGCTCACAGTGGAGAAGTGTTACTTATCACCATTTGGGGAAGAAAATACTTCTGTTTCACTGATCTCATAAAAGCTCATCACTACCTAAAGGCTCCTTCTGTGAAACAAAACCTGACAACTACTGAGGCCGATTCTCACTATGGCTCATATGGACCTGCTGCCCACTCCTAGTTCTTTACCAAGAGTTCTTCACACTTGACAGACACCCATGATACTAAACAAAGCACGGAGCTGAGCATGCGCCAGCTCCTCCCAGTACCTCGGCAGTGGTGAGGAAGACCTTGTCCGTGATGTGTCTCAGCCCACAGGCAACAACCCCAAGAGCGACTCCAGGGAACACATAGGAATTGTTGCCTTGGCCAGGGAAGAGAGTCTGTCCGTCTGGAAGAGTGACTGGGTCGAAAGGGCTGCCACTGGCAAAGATCGCACGCCCCTGCAACACAGACAGACAGAGACCACCAATGACGAAGAGAACGGCCATCCGCAGGCAGTCTAACGGGTGTCGGTGCTGCCCGCGGGTCAGGAGGGATGCTTGCCATTGTGCGCTGTATCAGTCTGTCCAGGAGTGGGCATAGCACAGGATTCCCTAAGGCTACCACTCTGTCCTCTGCAGTGGTCCAACCACAGGCCCAACAACCACATTAGAGAGGCTTCTAACTACAGACTTCTGAGGACTAAATCAACAGGTTCCTAGAAATTGGAAGTGGTATGTTAGGTTAGACTTACCTATTGTTCAGTCTCACGGTAATTTTCAATGTTTTACAGTGCATTCGGCAAGATCTCAAGAAAAAGTTGAGATCTATTTCTGACCAGTATGTATCTGTATGGCAGAAGCCCCTATGCTAACAAGGACTGCTGAGCTGCATAGAGACAAAATAATTAACTACACACTTGCTTATCCTGGACCTCCTGTGTGCAAGGTACGGCACCACAATCTGCTCCAAAGGCTGGGTTTGCATCCCTTGAGGATTTAAAGCTACTGAAGAATGTAAGAAAAAAATCAACCCGTACATGAGATAAAGGTTAAAATTACTTAGAATATTGATGCCGTCCCAGCTAAGAGAGAGAAACCTCTTGTCAAAACATGACTTGCTCCTGTGATGAGCACTCAGTGCTCCTGTGATGAGCATTCGGCATGTTCCTTACAGGAAGAGCCTTCGAGCTCTGGCTTCTGCACAGCATCACAACTTTGTGCTATGTTCACCCTCTCTACACTATTTTATATAAATAAAGGATTTAGATGCATAAAACTAACTTCATTTCTGTTATTGATATTCTCAAGTATTTGAGGAGCGCTAAAGGCTTTTTGCCAACCTATCAGTCAAATATATTTCAGTACAAGCACAGTATAAAATTAACTTTTTATTTTTAAAACAGCAAACTATTGAGCACCAAGGATTCTATGACAGCCTGGCTGGGTATCAGCATAGCTGCCCAGATCTCCACCCATGGCATCAAAATCCAAACCCGAAATTTAGCTAAGCAAAAACTAAACTGTGGTTTCATTTTGTATGCTTCGGTGCTTGAGAACAGCTAGTTAAAGAAGACAGCTCCAGAACCATCCAAGACTAAGTTCTTTCCCTTTCATGTTTTATATTTAAGTCTTACTTTCTAAGTCACTCAAGGAAAGTTACCACTAAAACATACAAAGTTGACTTATTTATTGAAGATGCGCAGAGTGACTCCACACTGAGGAAGAGGAGGCAGTCACTCATGCCTTGGGTCTGTTCATGCATCTTTTAGCTTTAGTTTTAAGTATGATATCAAAAGCACATGATCAATGCTGTGGGCTTTCTAGGCTTCCTGTAACTAACCAACACATGATGGCCCACCTTGGTCGCTCTATAGCACTGCTCTGCAGAACACTCTGCTTTGCTGGTTGGATTACTTAAAGCAAAAATGATGGGTCGTTCGTTGAAGGCAGCCATATCTTTGAGAATTTGTTCTGTGAAAGCACCACCAATTGCAGCAACTCCTAAAAAGAAGGAAGAAATGGGGGAATAGGACTGTCACTGGTCAGTTCATCAAGAGGATCAGGTCCCCAAACACTGAGATATAGCAGCTCCTTTCTACCAGGCCCTAAACAAACTGTAGGATGTACACTGAAGTCTAGTGATGAAAAACATTGCTCAGGGCCAATCTCTTCAGGGTTAACTCAACAAGTGCCCTCATAAATCACAGGCATGACAACAGACTTACAATACGGAGTTCCTAGTCAAAGCATTTGTATCAGGAAATTAAACCACCAATGCATTAAATCCAATATTCTCTCTAAGCAATCTTGAGTAGACTATGGTATTGTGTCTTTATAGGCAATGTTAATCATCTTATCCCATTGTGAAATCAACACTCACTGGAAGCAGAATAGAGCAGCTAACATAAGGAAGGTGAAATGTAGGAAGCTTAAAGGATGCACTGCATAAAACACATCAAAAGCTCAGGAAAGTTCTTTGTGATTCTGGACCATCTACATGGACAGCTATTGCAAACACACTCTAAGAATAGACTATGATTGAAAAATGACATGCATACATGGGAATATAAACAAACTGAAATAACTTCCTTCAAGATCTTAAGCACAGAATTTGAACATGTTAAGCATGTCTTCTATGGACCATCAAAGCAGGTCTCAAAGCAGGTCTCATATAGCACAGGTGTGCTCCTGTCCTGTCCTCCTGTCTTCACTTCCCAAAGCTGGGATGGGAGGGCAGGTGCACATCACATGCCCAGATGCCCACTACACACTGCACTGTGCACACACCGTGCCTGAGTACCTGAGGAGGAATGACAGGAGAGGTGCAAGCCTAGGAAGTCTCCTGAGAAGTCCTGTCCATAGCTCCTGGATCTCAGCATGACTGATATACCGCGCATGTGGTTCCTCACGGCATAACTAGTACACTGTGGGCGTGGTTTCTCATGGCATAACTAGTACACAGTGGGCGTGGTTTCTCACGGCATAACTAGTACAGAGTGGACATGGTTTCTCATGGCATACTAGTACAGTGGGCGTGGTTCCTCACGGCATAACTAGTACACAGTGGGCGTGGTTTCTCACGGCATAACTAGTACACAGTGGGCGTGGTTTCTCACGGCATAACTAGTACAGAGTGGACATGGTTTCTCATGGCATACTAGTACACAGTGGGCGTGGTTCCTCACGGCCAGGCTACCCTGTGCACCACAGGACATTTTAACAACTTCACTGACCTCTACCCACTAGATGTCAGCTGGCCTTTCCTTTCTTTCTTCATCAACACCCCCTTCACACTGATGACCCCTAAAAATCATCTCATGGCACAGACCAGGGCTCTGGAGGGGGGTTTTCAGGACATTCAGGAAGGGCTGTCTGCCTGGAAAAGGGCCGACTGTGGCAGATGTTAGCAGACGACACAGCACAAAGGCCACACACCTCAGCCCAAATCAGGAATACTAGGAAGGCAGACTGGCTACATCTCAGTGCCTATGAGGACCCCGCTACTTAAGTGCATTTTCTTTCTGGATTCCAAAGGTTAGAATTTTTAAAAAGCAAAATAACGCTAAATAGGCCAAATTAAAGGAAAAGGAAGGAAAAAGCATTTACCGATTAGGGCAGTTGGTTTTATCTTTTGAACAATGGCTTCTAGAATCTTCATTTCTTCATGCTCGTGGGCAAACACCTCTTTCTCTGCTGTGAGAGAAGCACGTCCCTAAGAAAGCAAATGAGAAGTAGAAGTAGTGCAAAAGTCCGCTTCAAAGGCGCAGCACGTATTCCACACTCAGCGGTGAGCACGCGCGCACCACCCTGTGTCCGACACGTAGCAGCTGCGCTGGAAGCCCTCTCTAAAGGTCCTGTATTACTTCACTTGTCCTTTCAACAAATATTTACATGGCAGACAGTGTTCCAGACAATGGTGACACAGCAGTAGGCAAAACAAATCCAACGAGAGCCTGGAGACATAGGCCAAGCATAATCACTGTTATTTTACACATGAAGTCACAGGTTCAGAGACTTGAAGTGACCACAACTTAGGACAGGCATTTTCTGGGACTGCCTTTCCAGTACATCACAGGACTGCCCTGGAGGAAGGGCTCTCCAAATGCTGTATGTGAGACTGAATGCTAACCATCAGGCCTGAAGCTGATGCAATCCCCTTGTTTTAAAGCGTGTGTGTGGTCATGTGTGAATTCAGGCACAGAGTGATGGGAGGTCAGACACAAGTTTGGCTTCCAGTCTTTCCTTCTACCTTGTCCCAGAGTCCCTGTTCACTGCCATGTACTTCATGAACCAGTGAGCAGAGCTGCAACTCCCAGGAAATCTCCTGTTTCCACTTGCCGTATTAGATGAGTTGCTGGAATTATTGCCATGTACTTTATGTGGGTTTTGGGGGTTTGAACTCAGGTCCTCATGATTGTGTGACAACCACTTTACCCACTGAGTCATCTTTCCAGCCCAGATTTATTTGCTTTTAAAAGCAATATACAGAATACTAGAAAATTTAAAACATATGAACCCCTTTTATATCTGCTTCCTTCTCTGTAATCAAGTAAAGCAGGAACCGGCTTCTCACCAGGTCACTGGGGGTTAAAGAAATGATGGAAACTTGGGAAGCACTTGAACCCTTATCAACGCTGATTAAAAAAAAAATAAAACCTAAAAACAAAAATACTTCTGCAAATAGGAAAGGAGCCCATCTCCAGCTCTTTATAATTTTGGAACATTTTCTCCTAGTCTGCTACAAATTGCTATTTGTGTACCACTGCTTTTCATTATAAATGTGACATTGGATTGGGTGGCTTCCCAGAAAAGAGCGCACCATTGGTTTTCCCCATCCTCCCTGCTCCATGTATCAACACGCTCTATGTCTAAGACACCATGACAATAAGCCCCTTCGTCCACTGAAGCTTCCATTTCACACCTACTGCTAGCAATAGCGATCCACAATCTTATTAGTCATGTTTACTCGAAAAATCATTCTAATTTCTACTTTAATCAGGAACCACCTAATTGTTCACTTGTGTTTTGTGATTAATCCTAAATCTGAAAGAACTCAGTTGACAGAAACTTCTTTGGTAGTAGAGATTGGGTCCAAGGCTTCACACGTTTTAGATACTAAAATCTATAACTGTCAAATGATTTCAAATCTTTATTCCTCTTCATGAACAGGCTGCTTCTTTCCTTATAATCAAGTGAGATAATCTTAGCAACCCTGTTGAGTTATACCCCCAGCCCCCATAAATGAATTTTAAATTGATTACTAGAGATTAGTTTCTTTTGTGTTTGCAGCAAGATTTTTAGCCACTTTCTAATAACATAAAGACTATAATACTGGCAATCTTACAGTTCTGTGTGACCAGAGGTCCTAGGGGGCAATCTTGCTGAATGTGCTTACTTCTGCTAACGTCGTGAGAGGGAATTTGTTCCGCTTTCACAGTTCCATCGCAAACATTAGGCAGCACTGGCGTGGAGAGAGAGAGAGAGCCTCACAAGGTTTTCATTATCAACAGGAAAACAGAGGCACTTGGCATATCAAAGAATTTCTCTCGAATGAGTTAGAGATGTAATAAACCCAATTGTTCCCAACTCTGTCCTACCTTCCTGTGTCTGTGTTCTCTGCTGAGTAGCTCTGTAGGACCATCCACAAAAGCAGACCACACAGATGCTTACAGTTCAACATGCTCACCATGGGGTGCCGCTCAATGACCCCCCACCCCCAGTTTAAAAATGCACTTATAAAACCTAACCATGGAACAGCAGAGCTTATCCTGGCCTGCGCTAAATATGCTCAGAATCTGAGCACAAAATCTACCTTGTAACAAGTGCAACATCACACACCAGACAGTGGGGACCAGGATGACCGTGTGAGTGCCATCCTGCATCTGAACGTCCGAAAGGTCCTAACTGGATCCATCAAGTTGGGGGTTTCTGTTTCTTCCTTGCCTGTGTTTCTGAACGGGAACATATGCCTCGCCCTGGTCATTAAAATATGGACTAGAACGACAATTCCTGCATCAGTCTTAAGAACTGATAAATCTATCCACCTGTCCCCTTGTACCAATGTCATTGCTTGTAGTCTGCCACAGAGCAGTATGGGGCAGATGTGGACTCAACCTGAAGAAAGCTTAGAGCCACAGGGCAAACATCAACAGCGCTGTCCACTTTGACCCAAAGATGAATGAGAAGAGACCATGGTGTGTGTCCTCAAGATGTGACCACTGAGAGCACGGTACTGGGCCCCAGCAGCAGAGCGTCTTTAATGCTGCCTTTGTTAGCCTAACACTAGTCTTAGTGACTTTAGGAGCTGATGGCTCCTCGCCTTGAAATGGTTTAATAAAATGAATGCCTTTGCAATCTCTCTGCCCCCTCGGTTCCTGTATTGGTAGCTGGCAAATATCATCCTGCCTTATTAGAAAGAAAAAAGAAATTCTCGTCATGGAAAAACATGGAATCATTTGACAGTTACAGTTTTTATTATCTAAACTATTTCTGAACAATTTTTGGAAGCAGTCTGAACTAAAATTCATAGTTGGTTTGAGTCTTACACAGTGAAATTTCCAGTAGAGATACCAAATAAAATGCTGGCTTGGAAATGCGTACTTCCTGGGATCAGTAACTTTCAGCTGCAAACATTCTCAACAGAACATGAGACAATTCTGGCTTACTACTCCCAGAGAAATGTGCACACTCAGTTGCAGTCATAAAAGCAAGGACGCAGTCCGTGCTTCCGAGGCCCTAGGAGACAAGCGTTACAGGACTCCACACTGCTTCAGCGTGACCTCCTCTGGGTTCAAGGTCAAACACTAAGCTGGATCCACCTCAGCTCTCACCATCTGTCCAGAGTTTCTGCATTAAACACAACAGTCACTAATGATGTACCCTCACTACAAACTGACACAGGATGAGGAATGAGGATAATGAAGGGCAGTCACAAGGCTCTTCTGGAAACACGTGGTTGCGGTCATCTGGCTGAGGTGGACACGGCACGCTTTAGTCTGGGAGACAAGCAGCGTCAGGTGCTGAGTAACAGGTAGAACCGCTATCTGTGGGCAAACCTGACTGCTGGCAGTGGCAGTGAAGACAGCAGCCTTTCCTAAGGCAACGCTGCATCATGAAAACTGGTCCCCAAAGCTCAGGGTGAGCTACATGTCAGGGATTTGCTCTTCCAGCTGACACAACAGCGAAGGGAACCTGTCTAACTGCACTACCTTCTCCAATAGAGGAAAGTGATTCCAATGAGCTCTAGCTATCACAACAGAGCATAGTCGTGAAGGATGCTGAGTTATCACTCAGAGAACACTGAACATTGTACTGTCTGCCCGTCAGCATTTTCAAATTACTTTCCACCTGAAAAATGGAAATGCTAAAATCTTCAGTAGAGTGCCTAGATGTCAATTTTACATATTTATTGACTTATTACATATTTAGTTATTTAAGGTCTACACTGTCAGATAATCCCCCTGCCATCTCTGCCACCATGCCTAGGGTTCTCTTGGTGCACAGTTTAATCTAAAGATGAGTTTCTTCATTTGGATATCTGACGACAACGCCCAGGAGACTCTGTCCTGACAAGTGCTTATCTTCCAGGAGAGTCACTAATCAGACATCCACAGCCAGCAAAGTGTCTAGCTGAGCTTACGGGAGCATGCCTACCATTCAGCATGCTGGAGAGTAAGGCAGGAGTAGGAGGCCAGCCTGGGCTACACAGCCATATCCTGGTGTCAAGAACAGAAGGGTGTCGACACAATTTTTAAAGATAATCAATAATATAAATCTACTATGTTACTTCATATAATTCTTCATTCTTAAATTCCTTGTCATTATATTTTGTTTTTGCTGTTGTTCCATATTGTATCACAACCTTAAATAATTTTTATACATAAGAACACATAACAGCTTATGTACATGAGAGCACATGACAGCTTATGTGCATGAGAACACATGACAGCTTATGTGCATGAGAACACATGACAGCTTATGTACATGAGAACACATCACAGCTTATGTACATGAGAACACATGACAGCTTATGTATGAGAACACATGACAGCTTATGTATGAGAACACATGACAGCTTATGTACATGAGAACACATGACAGCTTATGTGCATGAGAGCACATGACAGCTATGTATGAGAACACATGACAGCTTATGTATGAGAGCACATGACAGCTTATGTATGAGAGCACATGACAGCTTATGTATGAGAGCACATGACAGCTTATGTATGAGAGCACATGACAGCTTATGTATGAGAGCACATGACAGCTTCTGTATGAGAACACATGACAGCTTATGTATGAGAACACATGACAGCTTCTGTATGAGAACACATGACAGCTTATGTGCATGAGAACACATGACAGCTTATGTATGAGAACACATGACAGCTTATGTATGAGAACACATGACAGCTTATGTATGAGAACACATGACAGCTTATGTATGAGAACACATGACAGCTTATGTATGAGAACACATGACAGCTTCTGTATGAGAACACATGACAGCTTATGTGCATGAGAACACATGACAGCTTATGCATGAGAACACATGACAGCTTATGTATGAGAACACATGACAGCTTATGTATGAGAACACATGACAGCTTATGTATGAGAACACATGACAGCTTATGTATGAGAACACATGACAGCTTATGTACATGAGAACACATGACAGCTTATGTGCATGAGAACACATGTCAGCTT